ATGTTTTACACGAACCTCGCAAACTTTTAAACACGTTCTCTTGTGATACCTGGGAAAGTATACAGTATAATTTCCGGTAAGATTTTCGCGGACAATCTGATCGATTTCTCTTACATTGTGCCCTGTGTCTGAAACTTTTCACCTCGAGCAAAGCTTCGTCGCACGGCCCAAAGAAACATGGCGAGCAACAGAGCTTCTTGTATATATATGTCCGTGTTAAAACAGACGAAAGGACTCTAAAGCACACTTCACTCTGACTGGGCAGAAAAACACAAAGATTTTCTGACACCAATCAGATGCCATACATACATACACTTTATTTGGTAAAGCAGATTAAATTAAGGCAGCTAAAAATAGCTGATGTGGACCTGCTGTTATCACAACAATTTACAATCACAATATAAAAATTAATAAATAGATAAAACCGCATGAATTCCATAGATAAGATGAGTGATACAAATGAAATTTGAAATTAGGAAGAAATTGAGAAACAAAACATTTATCATAAAATTTTAGTAATATATAAAAGTTTGGAGATCCTTGTTGTTATTTGTGCATGTTCTTTTCACAAAAGAGACTTTCTGTTGTGCTATTTGTTGTTAGATGTTCTCAGAGCCCTTTTAAAAGTCCCAATGTTCTCACATTCACGAGCTGCTTTATCCAAACAGTTCCAAACAACAGGACCTCTAAATAAAGCACTCTCTCTACCTAAATCCAATTTCTTTCTAGTATTACCATCAGCTTTCATCGGCGTCGTGACTCCGTGATTTGAACGTGTGAGGAAAGTCTACTTAACATATTTTTCGCTTTGAACATCTCAACAGCCAATTTACACTTGTATGTATGTCCAAGGTTTTGCCAGCGTACATACTGTGGTACATCACAATCCACAATGTTCTTTGGTACCTTATGAATTATTTTAGCAGCTTTTATATGCAATCCTTCAATTTGAACAAATGTAGCAGGAGAGCAGCTTCCCAATACTGATATGAAGAAGGTAACTTGCGGGATAATGGTCTTAAAGTATATTTCCCCCAGTACCTTGGATGGGAGCTGTCGCATTCTTTTCAATATACTGATCTGGTGTCCATACAATTTGGATACTTTATTCACCTGTTGTTTCCACAGCAGTTTGTTATCAATAACCACACCCAGGCATTTTGTGGTGCTGATTGTGTTACCACACTTGACAGGAGGCAAGGGCCCAACCAGACTATGCTTCTGCAAAATCA